GTACTTTTATTTATTTATTAAAAATATGATGAGAAAATAAGTTTTTTTTATACCATTTCAATGATTTTTTTGGATATAAAATTGTTATGAAATACAAAAAATAAAAAGCTTAACAATAAGAATGACATAAAAATCGATAGGGATATAAGTGCTATAATGAGTAAAGATTAAGAATTTAAGTACAATTAAAATATGGTACAAGAAATAAAAATTGTGTTGTGAATATAATTACCCATAAAATAAGTATGTACTTTGTACAAAATTTACTTTTATGGATATGCAACAAACGACAAAGATTCAATTTAATTCAGATAATATTTTTGGTGTTGATAACCGAGGGTCAATTTCATTTTAAATGACAAATATTTTAAGAAAGCTTTACTCACAGCGAGCATGACAAGCAAGCTCTAACGAAAAGCATTTTTAGCCTCCAAGAAGTATTTTTTAAATTCGAAAAAACCTCCCCTAAGTATACCCTCGCCAAATATACATGCATCGTGTATGCATCTCCAAGAAGTATTTTTTAAATTCCAAAAAACCTCCCCCAGTCTTTCGAACACCATGCATCGCGTATGCGTCTCCAAGAAGTATTTTTTAAATTCCAAAAAACCTCCCCCAGTCTTTCGAACACCATGCATCGCGTATGCGTCTCCAAGAAGTATTTTTTAAATTCCAAAAAACCTCCCCCAGTCTTTCGAACACCATGCATCGCGTATGCGTCTCCAAGAAGTATTTTTTAAATTCCAAAAAACCTCCCCCAAATATACTCTGCCCTGAATATACAATTGTCTTTCGGACAACATGCATTGTTTATGCGTCTCTTAGCCATCCCATCTATAAGTTTCTAAATCGTGTGGCCCAACCTGTATATATATTTTCTAAAATAATACCATCCAACATCATTAGTACTTAGCACTAGTTTAGGTACGGTTGTAATTCACCTAGAATTGTCCAGTTAATTAAATGTTGAAAATTAGAAAACAATATTCTATACCATTGATAGGAATAAAATTGCTTAAAGAAAAATAAACGCATAAGAATGCGCAAGATTTATAGAGCTTCGCTTTAATGTTGAGCTGCATCATGTTTCACGACTCTAGTAATTCACTATGATAGAGGAAATTTGCCTACCTTCACTACCCTCTCAGTCCACATACTACTCCGATAATAATTAGACTTTACAACTTAAATTAATATGCATTGCTCATCATACAATTGTAGTTAGATTCCCACTACCCACCTACAATAATACCAGATAGGATTACTTTTTTCCTATCTAGCATGTAATGGGCTTGAAACAGGAAGCTACAAGGTAAAGGAGAATATGTACTTAATAATCCCCATTGTATGATAATGATTAACTAATCTATGATTAACAAATTATTTATACACTATCAATTAATTATCAATAATTTACATTCTTAAGAAAGTGTTAATCCTAATAAGAGTGCACTTTTACCATACTGCGTCCTTTGGCTTAGGAAAAAAGTTGCAAAAGTGCATTTTTCATGTGCTCACTATCATATAATGGACATTGAAGTTTTAATTATATATTGTCACTTGAATGAACTTTTATAAACCATCATCCTCTCCATCCATTCACTTTGACCACTCTAAATTTAATCAAGGCTTATTTGCTATAAGGTTCTGAATATTATAAATACGAAATATTTACTCGGTGAAATTAGATAGATGATAAGATTTTTTGTTATAATTACAAATTTTATTCAGAACTTGTTTGGTACAGCTAAAAAATCAATTAAAATAAAAATTTTGACTGTTATTTCACTATTACAGCTGTTATTTTTGAATTCTTCTCTCACGAGTATGACCTACTTTATTTTTAAAGATCAAAAAATCAATTATCAAAATCTCTACCAAAGAAGCACTCAATTTTTTGAAGTTGTTTGATAGAAGAGCTAAAGATTTTGTTCTCCAATTTCTCTGAGTTCAATTTATGACTTCATGAAATAGTTTGTTTCTCATAAGAGATACATAAATAATGCATACAATTGTGATTAATTTGCTTGCTCAACCGTTCATTAATAATTATTAAGATTGATTTAACCGGCAGCCATATATTATGTCACATGCAAGACAAAATGACAAATGACACTATTATATCAATTAATGAGTTTGCATATTGACTAGATAAAGTCATAAAGAGATAACTGCATTGTAAACATTTATTTATTATGCGATGATTGGAGTAGAATAATGTATGATTAAAATACGGTTTTCGATTCTATGTCGAGATTCTTTAAAACTCTTTTTTAATAATACATTTCTTCAACAAAATAATTTTACAAGTGGACACATAACTTTTTTCTACTTATAATCATACACTCTTTAAAAGAATTACTTTTCACAAAATATATTTTAAAATATGTACATCAAACGCACCTTAAATCTCTTCTTAGGTGAAGAAATTCAATTTTCAAAGATTTTGCTTATGAGCATTGTGGTATAAGCTTATCTCACTGTAGCGTAATAAGATAAGTACTTTCTCGAAAGGAAAGAAAAAAGAAATTATTCGAATCCTATCAAAAAGACATCATTTCTTTTATCTTAAAAAAAAAAAAATATTCAAAGAAAATAATCACCCCCACGAAAGAAGCTTACCAATGAAAATGCACCACACAGCATTATAAAATCCAACCCACTATTGTGTTTCTTTATAGAGAAATCTCTCAGGTCTTGCTTTTTGTGTTGGAATGTTCCCATTGAGTCAAAGAGAGATGACATTAATGTACAATTTAATAAAAGCATCTTTGATAGTAGTATATAATTGAGTGTTAATTGATATTTTCAATGTTTTGAAAATCGATTGGGGAATCGGTTCGGAAAGTTCACAGGTCAAGAGTCAAAGCGTTCAACTAGGACCGAATCGGATGCAATAACAAATTTTTTTCCTACTACTCATTCAACGTAAATACAAATTCATTTTGACTAATTTAAAATGAAATCGTTTGAGCTTATTTGAAAATGATGTATAACATTATTATGTAAATAATGAAGTGATTTTTAAGTTAAATTTGAAAATTGAGCTCAAAATCAAAGTAAAATTGAAGTTTAAAATGCAAACATGGAAAATAGGTTATATGGGCAAATGAAAAGGAATCCCACATTGGTTGTTGATAGAAATTGACATGCACACATTGAATATATGTACTCTGGGCATGAGAAAGAATCCCACATCTGACGTTTGTAAACATTTTGAAGAAATTATGTCTATAAATATGCTTGCAATCCAACTCTTCCGATGGGTGATTCACTTCACTGCACGGCCCAATGGTGAAGTTAAAAATTTTTAATTCGAAAACTATGACTAATTCATGGGTTAGTGTTAAATTGGCTGGTTTAACAGTTTTTTTAAATGTTTTTATCTATTCGGTTATTTTAACATATAATTGACCTGATTTTAGAGCTTGTTTGGGAGTGATTATGAGAATTGATTTTTTGATCGTTAAGAGAAAAGTGAGGTTTATCTGTGAGACAAGAAGTCAAATATAACGGTTGGAATAGTGAAATAACGGTCAAAAAATTAATTTTTTAGATAAAAAAATCACTCCCAAACAAGCTGTTAGACTCGGTTCTGAATTTTACTGATTGGGTTGGGTCGGTTTTAATAACATTGGAAAATTATTTTTATATCCTTATTTGTATCTCGATAAATCTAAATTCACTTTTTATTTCATTTGAGAGGTTTACGGTCACTCGAAGATCTAAATATTTATTTTACGCTACAATTGAAGATGTTATAATAGATTTCTCACTCTACATCTTACTTGTGTTAACTTGCTTGAAAAGGGAAGTCAATGACCAAGTCGATGGAACAATATGAATGGAATGAGTAACAATGTTATATGAATTCAAATCATACTAACAAATATGCTTAAAGTCCTCCTTATGGTTTGTAGGACAAAGTCGGACACTTGAGTCATAGAAAAAAATAAAAATAGAAAAAAAAATGCTTAAAGTAAAATAGAAAAAAAAAAAAAAAAGCTTAGTCTTCAAGTATAAAATATGTAAAGGAACGCTAGGAATGGAATGAGTAACAATGTTATATGACTTCATATCATACTAACAAATATGATTAAAGTGAAGTATGCAAGCAGTGGGGGGAACTTGTGATTCAATTGAGGCATAACCCGCGATTTATTCCCTTCAAGGTTCTAGGGACAAGGATCTTATGGGTCTAGGATTTAGTCTAGTGTAAGTTGGGATACTTGAATATCAAAAAAAAAAAAATGATTAAAGTCTTGGTGCTTGTTTGATGCTAATTTTGCAAATGAATTTTTTGACCGTTAACTTGAAAGGTGAGTCTCATTTGTGACAGCTGATTGCGTTCAGTAATGGCATTTAAGTATAAAATATGGTTATTCTATTAGTTGTCCATATAATTTTGGATAGATATATAAAGATTTTCTTTCCTGTGCAAACCAACTAGTATCAATATGATTTCAAGCTCGAGTACCTCAAGCAAATTTCTAGTCTCATAAATTTAATTGTGTATTATCAGTTACTCTTGCGCATTACGTCTTTTCTTTTTATTGGTGGAGTCCGAATTTGCTTAAGTATAAAATGAATTGTGCTTCACTTTTCCAATCATCAAGAGGAATTGAAAATAGTGTTTCATATTTTCATTCAGTATAGCCGAATCTCAATCTTTTAGCCGGCCAGTTTACTTGAATGTTAGCTTTTATCATGCGAATTTTGGTGAAAATTGTAGATTTTTATACAGCACGTCAAATGTACAATATAAAAGTTATTCCATCCCCTTCGCAATTATTGATAGAGAAACCTAAGCACTAACCTCAAATTCAATAATACAATGCGAATAATTTTGATATCGTCATCCCATTTTGATATCGTCATCCCACTTTTTCTTTTGCAAAATAAAAAAAAGGTGACAAATCTTTTGTTGGGCCAGCCCACTACCCACGCTCCCTATAAATGCATAATTCGTCCTCTCATTTTCATTTCTGATTCGTATAACATCCAGAGTGCGAACAATCAATACGAAACAAAAACAGAGCTGTAGTAATGTGTCTCTATCTCTCTCTCTGAATTGCTTAGACAACCGTGTATATGATTCATGTATAGATCTTTCACTTGAGTTCTTGCGAGTTAGATAATTGTAAACTTGTTGAAGGGTGATAGATTATAGAGAAGATGAGGACCGTGAGGGCCATTAATTCCTTAGAGTTCCCAAATCTCTCTGGATTCTTGGTTGTGGAAGCTTATCCCAAAAGGTTTTCTTCCAAAATCCCCTCTGATTTGTTTCTGTTCCTGGGACTTGGCTTCATAGATTGGTAGCATTCATTCCACTCGTACTATATATTGCTATCGATATAGATTAAGAAATATTCAGATTCTGTTACAGATAAAGAAAAATAAAGATACATTTATGTATCTTTCCCTCAGGATTTTGTATTACAAATACTGGAATTTATGAATCTGATTCAAAAAGATTCTTGGGTTACGTTTAGATGTAGTATTTGTCTAGCTTTCTCTTGTTCTTCTTGATTTAGCTTAATTTTCTTGTTATTGTTCTTGATTTGGGAAGGGTTTATCCATTTGTTATCTCTTTGACCTAGGACCTTTAGGTAGTATAGTTGTGGGAAAATTAAGGTTATGATGAATAAATTTAGGGGTTCTGATGGAGGTTAGGATTTGTAGCTGAGGTTAACATGTTGGAGGCGTTTATAAGGATGGATGGTTTGTTAAAATGGTTTTTGAGATAAAATTTATAGGCCTGCTATCAGCAATTGTCTTGGAAAAACCGGTCTCCAGTGCAATCTGAAAAGGAACAAATTTCCAAGACCCCCCGGATTAGTTTGTCAGACGAAAGACACTCGTGTCACAACTTTGTCAATGGAGAATCATCAACCTTCAACCCTCTTGTCAATGGATTTAAGTGCCTCAGCATGTGAGGAACTAGATCTCAAGATGAATCGCCAAGCTGTTTTGACTCGTCCACCAGATATCAATTTACCCCCTCTAGCCGAGCAAACACCCCCTCCACGATCTTGGAACCCTGAAAAATGCGATATTCTTGATTCCAGACTAGGTTCTCAGATTTATGAGACTGAAAGTTTTCTAAGTGTGCCCAAGGTTGGGAAGAAATGTGGGAATAGAATCGACAGCGTCTGGGGTGCATGGTTCTTCTTCAACTTCTACTTTAAGCCAGTACTGAAGGAGAAATCGAAGGCGAAGATCATACTTGACGGTAATGGAATTTCTGGCTTTGATAAATCTAACCTTGAAGTCGAAGTTTTTTTGGTTCAACATGATATGGAGAATATCTACATGTGGGTTTTCAAGGAAAAGCCCAAGAATGCTCTGGGTAAGATGCAGCTGCGGAGTTATATGAATGGGCATTCTCGTGAAGGGGATCAACCCTTTCCATTTAGTGTTCATAAAGGTTTTGTTCGATCCCATAGGATGCAACGTAAGCATTACAGAGGACTGTCTAACCCTCAATGTATTCATGGCGTTGAGGTTGTTCCTTCGCCCAATCTCACTGGTCTTGATGAAGATGATCGCAGAAGATGGGCAGAACTCACAGGAAGGGACCCAAAGTTCACCATCCCACCTGAAGCAAGCGACTACAGTTCGTGGAGAAATCTGTCAACAACTGAGTTTGAACTCGAGAGGCCACCTCCTCCAATAAAGAGTAATCCACACTCCCACTCAAAGAAGTTGCTTAATGGATCTGCACTACATCTATCAACTCAGCCAGCCAAGCATAGTAATGGGGATGTGATTGATCTATCACCCGTTGGTAGCAAGAGAAAGAAGGATTTCGTCTCACTTGGAAACGAAGATGATTGTTATTTGGCAAAAAGTCCACCTTCAGATCAAATCTCAGATATGGAAATTCGTTGTAACAAACCACACTGGCTGAAGGAATTTAGTGGGGTGCTTGGGAATGTTTATGGACCAGTTACAGCTGCCAAAACAATCTATGAAGATAAAGAAGGTTTTCTGATTGTAATCAGCTTGCCGTTCGTAGATCTTCAGAGAGTTAAAGTTTCATGGAGGAACACACTCACTCATGGAATCATCAAGGTGTCTTGTACCAGTATGTCCCGCACACCGTTTATCAAGAGACACAACAGGACTTTCAAGCTTACAGATTCATCTTCAGAGCACTGCCCTCTTGGAGAATTTGTTAGAGAAATCTCACTTTCAACCCGAATTCCGGAAGATGCTAATATAGAAGCATACTATGATGGGCCACAAACGATACTCGAGATTTTGGTGCCAAAACTCCACGAGGGACCAGAAGAACATGAAGTCCGTGTTTGCCTTCGTCCCAACCACGGGAGCAACAATCTTACCTTGAACTAGGACTTCTTGGTTGTGGATATTGCTTCATTGTTCTCTAACATTATGTCATACAATGTTGTGATTGATGAAAGAGAATATGCAACTGATATTAGTTGTGTTATGTTTTTGAGCACTGATATGCATGGAAAAGAAACAATCATATGCATTAACAATTATGTAGTACTTTGTTACCGGTGATTAGGTTTGTAATATATGAATCTTCTATATTGTATCATTGTACGGTTCAATGTCGATTTTAAAAGCTTGCATTCCTGAAAATAGTTGTCCAACTCCCCTAAGATCAGAGTGCCTTAAGACATCAAGGACCTCTTTGTCTGGTTTTAGCATATGCTTCCTTTTTTGGCTATGTAACACTAATCTTGCCAGCTATTTCGATTTCAAGAGGGTGCCTCTAGAAATGCAGACATAGGTGGTGTGTGGTTGTCATTAGTAATGGCAATTTACCCCACTCCACCCCGCCCCGGTGCTGCCCTGCCCCAAATGGGGGAAAAAACCTGCCCGTGAATTTATTTATTTATTTATTATTATTATTTTTTATGTTAAAAGGTTAGGGTTCAACTTCTTCAAATAGAAGGATGTGATTTATTTTTTAGTATCCTCAATTGTACAAATTTTATCGAACTTAACTAATTTATATATATCATTATGCTACTTTGTCAAATTGATATTATATTGATAAAAATAAATATAAAAAGATATAACATGTTCAACTGAACAAATTTGAAAATCTATATATTGTAATAAATTAAAGTGTGTGGGGTTACAATTTTTGTGATAATATCAAAGGAAAAAAAACAAAAAATCTTGTTCATCCTAATAATCAATGTTGTGTACCAATAGCGACCATTATATTTAAGATTTGTAGTGTTTATTTTGAATATTAACTTTGTCAGTTTGAATGTGATATGCATTTTATTGAACTTGATATTTAAAAAAAAAAGGGACGGGGCGGGAGAAACAGTCCTCGAACCCGCCTCGTTGCCATCACTAGTTGTCATAAGCTCACGCCATAAGGTTTTGGGTTATGGAATTTAAATAATGTGATAAAAGTGTATTAAATATGCAAAACAAGATATAATATTATGGAATTTAAATAATGTGATAAAAGTGTATTAAATATGCAAAACAAGATATAATACATTTAAAATTTTGATAAACTTCACAATTCACCTGACGAATTATAAAACCTCACAAAAATACCTAAAGTTCATAAACTAGCCAGCCACAACCCATATTTACTTATTTATAATTTTCATATATAAATATTATTTTTATTTAAATGTTACTTATTTACTCGAAGCCAAACATTCCCTCAGTACTGGGTGCATAATCACTATCAATTAGCAAGTCTGCCACTCAATGATAGATAGAGAGATGGTAGACTCCCATTGCTATTGCTACTTAAATCCTCAATAAGTTTACCACGAAATTCACAAAATGCCAAGTAGTTCATTGCACATTCCAATCGATGCCAAATGGCAGTTGCAATAATAGCGTTGCAAATGACATCATCAAACTCGAAGCCAAGCGCAAGGATAGTTGAGTTCTCCTGAAATCCTTGCTAGGTTTCTCTCTAGTAAGTTCTTTATCAACTTTCCCTAATCAAAGCATTTTGTAGTTCGAATGTGATAGTACGACTCAGTAAATATGCGTGATCAAAATAAATGATTATTTCTTATACTGTTAATTGAATTGATTGTGTTAATATAACTAGAATCCAAAGTATGCTACGCCATTGCTAATTGTTATCATAGTGTGAAATCGGAAAAATGCATTGCTGGTAAACTAGATAGAAGAGATTAGTAATGCGCCTGATGATTTAATGAAGAAAAAATAGAGGATATTCTATTTGCAATTGAAGGTGATTATCATCAATCCATTTTTCTCAAATAATCCTACTAGGTGTACAGTTAAGAGTTTATAAAGCCTCTATCGACATCTCACAATGGGGTAGACGGGTTAATTTTTGGTCATTTTTTATTCAGGTGTGATCTACGTTCTGCGTTTTATTTGATTGGAATCTGTGTACACGAGTAAAAGTTCTTCCTCAAATGATCATGAGCAATTTATTTATTTTTATAATACTTTGGATGTAAAGCTGCAAAATTCAAACCAAATAATTAATTAACATTTGGTCCTTACCGCTTCACGAAATCTTTCAAACGCACACCGTGGTTTCTCCCTCCAACGGTCCGGGCCCACGTAACACAAGAAAACCATAATCCTCATTATTAAACCAACACGTGTTTTCTAGCGTTCGATTCATTCCTCATCGACGGATCATATTCGCCCAGTTGAAAAAACACGGATCATCATTAGCAACCGTCGATAAACGATATAAAACAACGAATACGATTTTTTCCGTCCAATAACGCTCCCTATAAGAACCCACCCCAAATTCCAAATCCATATCATTAATCAATCATAATTCAGAAGTTGCACATATCTCAGTTAACAGAAGGCGACAATGTCGGGTCGGGGCAAGGGCGGCAAGGGTTTGGGAAAGGGTGGCGCCAAGCGCCACCGCAAGGTGCTAAGAGACAATATCCAAGGTATCACTAAGCCGGCGATTCGGCGGTTGGCTCGTCGTGGCGGCGTTAAGCGCATCAGTGGCCTCATCTACGAGGAGACTCGTGGCGTCCTTAAGATCTTCTTGGAAAATGTAATCCGTGATGCCGTAACATACACAGAGCATGCTCGCCGTAAAACTGTCACTGCCATGGATGTTGTTTATGCTCTTAAGAGGCAAGGCCGCACGCTCTATGGTTTTGGAGGCTGATTTCTACGTGGCTTCTGGTGTAAATGAGTTGTTTCATTTTGTTCAGGGTATTTACCTAGTCTTGAATCTGTTCTTATGTCTCAATGTATGACTATCTTTCTACAATTGTTCTTTCTTTTATTGGCTAAATGAAATTTTCTTTTCTATTTTAGTTTTAATACATTTGAACAATTCTGAGTTATTGACGTTTTGATTAACTTTCATTTTCTCTATGTGCTTTGGAGTAGTAGTGTAAAATTGAAGTTGCCCTCTGCTACTTAATGATTTGGCCTATTAAAAAGAATTTGTCAATGAATTCAAGAAAAACTCCTGAAGGTTGTTTCTTCCCTGATTCATCTTCCAAAACAGCAATCATGCTAGCAACCATGCCTATCTTCAAACAGAACGGGAGATTCTCTGTACGAACGGAATTCTTCTCTTCTCTCCACCAATTAACCATTACTGACGATGATCCTGAATAAGTTAGTTATGACCTTTGTAATGGTTTGGGATTTGTTCTTGGGCGCAACACCGAGAATAATGATCAGAACGCAAATCGCGATGGTTGAACAAACATTCTAACAAAAGGGGAATGAATTAATTCACCAGTAGATAAGATCTCCCCAATCATTCTTACGGGAAACTCCCAGGTATGTTTTGTTGCCATTTAAATTGCTTTTCATCTCATCTGAGAACCTCTGTGATTATGCAAGTTCTTTTTTATTAGACCAGATTCCATTTGATTTTTGTTTGTTATAGAGACGAATTGAGGATTACGAAAATTGAGAAATTAGAGACAAGAATGAGAGCCAAAGATCTGATGATTAAAGAATGTTGTGGCATAAGTTCACCTTGGCTCGCGAAAAGTTAAAAGCTAAGTCGCAACTTATTGCGAAAGGGTTCCAAAAACATAGCGAACTCTCTTTTGGTTGCGACCAGCAGCTCGCACCATGAGCCTGGACAAAGTGCAGCCCAGCTGTGATTCCTCTATCGCAACTTAGCTAGCTGAGGGTTGCTACATATACACCGAGCCTATAGCCCCTTCACATGGGGGCGATGCCTTCGTATTAGTTGGTATAAAGCCCCTTGTACATACACTCATTTCACATGAGGGGAAGGGTTCACATCCACTTAATGTGTGGGCTCCACTCTCAAATGGAAGGACGATACATTGAGCTGTAGGGCTTAGTATATATGTAGTAGCTTTGATTTTAATCCCTACCAAATGCTTTTTGAATTGTCAAGAAATATGACTAGCATCTCCTGTTATCAGGAAGAGAACTCAGAAGTAGGAGGGCTTCTATTTTATTCCCGAGCGACATCTCTACAAATAACAATCGGTTCATCAGACTCTAGAATTCATTGGTATACTAAGCAACTAAAGTTCCACTCTTCAACTTTAGATTTACCAAACGCCTTATCAACAAGGCTTTGCTACGAATAGTCTTAGTTTAGTACATGTCCTTCAGATTCTTTCAGACATGCGTCTCTTCTATACCACATGGTGAAAGATGCTATGAACAATCTATTATCGGATTTGATCGATAGTTTTCCTATTTATCTTCTTCGAAATGTGTAATTGGTGGAAGTGACCTTGATCATAGTTCTAGATGAAGATTCCTTAATTGATATCTTGACTTGATGACTTGATCAAAATCGGAGTTGTATCAAAAACTACAGGGGCAAATTGATATTTGTGGCTCTAATATTACATGTGATTCTCTAATCATGAAAGACGAGATTTAAGAGAGAGAAAATATTCTATTTCTTGCTTGAATAGAATTTAGGGTGTTTTTGATTTCTAGTATTTTTCATGAAAAATATGTTTTTTCCATCCAAAATTTCACTTTTGTGCTTTTTGAATATCATTTTTTTCATGAAAAATATTTTCATAAGAGAGAGAAAATATTCTATTTCTTGCTTGAATAGAATTTAGGGTGTTTTTGATTTCTAGTATTTTTCATGAAAAATATGTTTTTTCCATCCAAAATTTCACTTTTGTGCTTTTTGAATATCATTTTTTTCATGAAAAATATTTTCATACTTTTGGTTACATGATCATATTTTTCTTAAAATCAAGAAAATCATTTTTTTTAGGGGAAGTAGGATTTTGCTTTCCTGAAAATTCACTCCCTCTCATCCATCCATTCTCTCTCATCTACCACCAATAAAAAATAGACTAGTTGAAAATTAAATTAATCAAATTCATTAAATTAACAATTTTTATACAAATAAATTTTAGACAATTGAATTATCTGGAATTTATTTTATTTCTATGCAAATTCCATGTTTGTAATCAAAAGCACTCAAGATTTTACAAAAACTCTACAAAAAAATCTCAACACATCTTTCTTTTTCTTCCTCTTGGGATGTGTGTGTTCCACAAAATACATCCCCTATTTATAACAAACTTATGTCGTCTAATGCATCAATATTTCAACAAAAAAGGGAAAATGGTTGTGTATACTGGGGAGATTTTTATAAATGGCCTGCCACTATTCATTTTTGATAAAATGTCTATAATACCCTTAATGAAAGGATTTGTCATATTTTGCACAAGATATCCTTAATTTATTGGGATAGTTCCAAAATTCTTCTATTTCTCTCATTTCGAATTTTAATATATAGTTTCATCCTTTGATCTAATAAATTAGCATAATTTGTAATATAATTGTCATGTAATTCACTAAAATTATCATATTACTTAGATGAAATATCCATAGTTTCTAGTTGAGCAAAAATATTTCTTATTTTTCTAATAGTTTTTTTAACATATTATTTAATCCCTTAATTGTATAACATGGCATTATTCAGATAATTCATTGCAAGCTTTATGAATAATAATAACATGTTAGATAAGTTTTTTGCAAACATGAAAAGTAATAATCCCTACGATTCTTTCAAGATATTAGAAGAGTTATTTCTAAATTTAACAAAGACAATAATTTTACCTTGTTTTTGATCTTAAATCTGTATTCTTAGAATCGAGTGACCTTCAGGTTCTGAATCTGCAACCTACTCCCTCAAACGGCCTTTTGCCTCAATGGGAATTCTGCTATTTCAGCTTTTGCCCTCACTGTAACTTTTTTTAGAATTAAGAGTAAGGGTCTTAAGCAAAGAAATTTTTTTCTGTTAAAGTAAGAAAGAAATTATCTTATTCAATCTATCAAGAATCTATCGGATAGGAGGTTTAGAAACTCATATTTTTCTGATATCAAAAGATTGGGATTTTATTTCTATAATGATTTATACAAGATTTCTATTGTATACAAGGAGTTTTCAGAAAAACTGATTTTTAAAGAGAACTTAAGGAAAGAGAATGGTTTCTAACTCGAGATGATTCATTCTCTCCCAAAGACCTCTATTTATACATGACTCAAACTCACTATTATTAATCTATTACATCATTGCATCTATCAGAATTTTGAAAAAAGGCTCTCATACCTCTCTATTCTTTTCTCCCCTGGGTCTACATTTTCACATGTATTCTTTGCCTTTCCATCAAAGGGGCATTTTTTCTCTATTATTGCATTTTCATCTTTGACTCCATATGCAGCTGGCTAGATGCTTTTCTATTATTGCTTTTCCATATTTGGCTTCACATGTAGTTGGCTAGATGCTTTGGTAGTGGTAGGTCCTTTTCCATCCATCAATCTGCATGATTCTTGGATTGTTGTTGGACTTCCACTAATTTGATGGGTATCAAATTTCTGGATGTATTCTTTCAAAATGGTAGATTTTTCTTTTCCATTATTTATAAGGAGTGTCCATCCTTCATATTAGCACAGACATCTAAATTTTTTATCATATAAATTCTTTGCAATGTTGTAAAGAACTTTCATCTCCAAAACTCTTTGAGATTTTATCCATGATTTATTGATTTTAGGCAATGGTTTATTATTTCGGCCAACTTCAATCTTGAAATCTCGGCCAACATATCCAATTGTAATAATATGTTCAGCAGGATAGTATATCCTTCCATCAACTTCGGGACTTATTGAATAAAATTTGATATAAATCGATCTTCGTCGGGCAAAATTTGAAACTTCTGCCCTGAATATATCATCAAAATTTTCAATTTCTTTTAAATCTTTTCCTGGATAGATCAAATTCAGAAATTCATAATCTGCTGCCATCTTGACCATGAAAGGATCTGCATTTTTGGTTATTATTAATCTGAGATAAACATGATCTCCTGATGCAATAAAATAAGATTCATTTTCTTCCAATTTATAAACAGTCTTAGCAAATGATCTATATTCTTCTTCTTCTTATGATAAAGGGGTCATCATCTTCATCAGTTTTGATTCTTATAACTCTTGTATGTTCATCACCATTTTTTATAGTCACCTTCCGGGGACTTGCTATATCTCGTTTGATATTGCTGGGTCCACTGCTGCTTCCTGTCTATGTACCTGTTTGTATTTTTTAGATTGTATCAATTGGCATTTCTTGTTTGATATCTAATGACTCGAATTGTGAAGTAATATCAACAATTCTGTCATTCAATTCTTTGGTATATTTGGAATGAGAATTAGAGATTTCCATCAACAATTTGACATTTTGTTGGATAGATTCTGTCATTTCCTCTAACTGCTCAATTCCAATTTTCATATCTTCAGATTCTTCCATGAGGAATTTCATTCGTCTGTTGACGTCTATTAATGAATTTTTGATATTATCCATCTCCGAATTCAATATTCCTGCTTAAAAAATCTGCAAGATAATTATTTATTCCTTTAATATGAATAATATCAAAATTGTAAAATGATAAATATGCTTGCCATCTGTGTAACCTTCTATATTGAGGTTTCATAGGTAACATTATCATGTAATTATTTTGTTTATAATATTGAAATTGTTGGATAAAATCATTTCCTAATAGTATGTCACATTCTAACTTATTAAAATTATATACTTTATTTATTATAACTTGTTTACTACCAAGTATTATATTAACTTTTTCAGCACTATCAATTATTTGAGTACTTTTTCTAGTCCCTCCTGTTATTTTTATTTTACTATTTTTATTCCATGATTTTACTAAGAAATTTTTAAAAATTGTTATATCACTTCGTGTATCAATTAAGGCACAAGTTGTTATGTTTGTTTCTACTATTGTAACTTGTATATATACTGTCAATGGAAAGCTTATTTGATTATTCATTCACTTCCTATT